GCGCGGGGTCCGGACGGCGCAGGCTGCGCGCCGCGCTGCGCACATGCGCGCTCCCGCCCCTCCCACCTTTGACAGTTTTACTGTGGGGGGGAGGGGGGCGAACTCTCGCGGTATTCCTGCCGCCGCGCCGCGACGGGGAGGGGTGGTCTGGGGGAGGGGGCCCGTCGGGCAGGACTGCTCCGCCGGACTCCGGGATCCGTCGCCTCTGCCGGGCGGGCCTCCCTCCGGTCCACAGCGGCCAGTTACGCTGCCCGTAGGACGGGAGGCGGTTTGTGGACAGTGGGGTAAACTGAGGCACGATAGGGGCTCTGGGCACAACCCCAAGTCAGACGCGCAGGGAGTGAGGTGACCCGATGCCTCCTCCGCGTCCTGGCCCCGGGCAGGTGCGGCGAGGGAGGCCACGTGCTCCGGGACCCTGGCCTCCTGGCCCTGGGGCCCGTCGGCCGGCGGGGCAGGACTGAGCACGTCTCCAGCCAGCCCCGTGACCGCTGTCTGGGATCACCTGGCTCCTGGCAGTGCTGCGGCAGCTCGAGGCCATGGAGCTCTTCGTTGGGGGCGCTGACCATTGGATCGACCTCTCCCAGCTTTGGAGGCGGTGACCCTAAACCAGCAGCCGATGTCTCGCTCCTCTCTGCCCCGGAGCCCGCGTTCCGCAGGGGCACTGCCGTTAGGTCGGGGCTCCAGGGTTTGGGGGTGACGGGGCACTGGCCCCACAGGCCTTGGCGAGGGAGGAAGCAGAGAAGGGTGTGCTTCTCCCCAGGGGGCACTCGGGAGGAGGTAGAGCGTGTGTTCTCTGGGAGACCCCACAGGAAGCTGGCAAGGGACCCACTAGAGCCATTGGTACCTGCTCACAGCACCCGTCTCCCTGGAGGAACTCAGGCCTGGGAGGGAAGGGAGAGGGAGGCTTTGGGTTTTCATCTCGTGCCCACAATACTATCACATTTTTCTACTGTGTACATATGATACTTTTAAAATCAAAATTGACTTTAAGTTTCTAAGGCCCCTTTTTACATTCCACAAACATTTTGGACTCTTCCACATGGGTGTGGGTTGGACGTTGTGAGTTGGGAAATGGAATTACAGGGTGCACCTCCTTCCCTAGGGCCCCTCCTGCCCAGCCGTCCCCTGCCCCATCCCCTCTGGAGCAAGCTCTACTGCACTGCCTGGGAGCAGGGCAGGTTTTCGCCCTCTCTTGCTCAAGGATGGCACAGAGCACTCGCATGGGAACAGGCCATCTGCCAAGGAGCCGGTCACTTCCTTGGAAATCTAAGCCAGAGACAAGCTGGTGGGAGCCAGCCTGTGGGCCCCTGGAGGAAGGGGGCGTTCCTCGAGGCCAGGGCCACCGTGTCCTTCACTCGTTAACCATCCCCACCCCTGGGACAGGACCAGCAGGATTTCTGGGGTGGGGGGAGTCAGTGTATGTATCCTGAGACGTGTCCAAGGTTGTCAGTTTTCCCCACGCAAGTCTAGGTGTCCACACGTGGGACGTGCCAGTGTCTGTGGGTAGGTGTGTGCTCAGCAGCACCCATGTTTGGACATCACGGTGCAGGGTATGTTATCCGCGTGTTCCGTCCTTGATGAGATTGATGCCTGTCTGTGTGTCAGTATTCAGGTGACTGGACATCAGGGTCCGTGGGGACGGTGTGTCTGGATCTTAGCGTACCTGTGTCCAGGCTGCAGCATGACTGAGTGTCAGGGTGTCGGCGGTTTGTTTGTGTGTAAATACCTGTATGTCAGGGTGTGATTGTTTTGTGTGTATCTAGATGGCAGGGTGTTGTGTGAGATGGTGTGTTTCTACATGTTAGGAA